TGTGCTCTCTTTTAAAATGAACTTTTAATTTCTTCTAAGTAAATTACTTCTTGCCGGTACGTGACGCGCACAAATGTCAGAATAATGGGAGAGCCTTAATGAGCTGGGGAGTGGAGCGAGGTGGGGGCTGCTGGGAATAACCCCGGGACATGCATGTCTACACACACACACAAACACACACACACACACACACACGGATGGACGTACAGACACGTGACCCAACTGGCACACTCATTCCTCCACATACAGCTACTACCCGCAGCTTGCCCTCAAGGGTGGACATGCCCATGTGCACACAGGCTGACAGGTTCCTCCACAGACACACGGACACAGTCCTCACCAGCCTCAGCCTCCCTTTCTGCTGCTCCTTATTTAGCCGATAAGAAAAGATGTACGTTTAGGGGGGGTTGAAACAATGAAACAATGCAGAGTAACGAAGAGGTGAGGCTAGTTCCCCGGCCAGGGCCTGGAGGGAGCCGGGGCTGCATTCGGGGAGAGCAGGTGAGCCCCTTGGCCGCTGGCCCAAGTACCAAAGATCACCCCTGCACTCGGGCCGCTAGGAGCCTGAGCCTGATCTCCACCCCCCCTCCTGTACCATCTGAGTGGGCAGGTGGGCGGCATTACTCCCACTGGGCAGCAGGGGAAACGGAGAGGTAATGTCATCTGTTTGGGTCACACCAATTCAGTCCTGTGGGAGAGCAGCATGGGGACTGATCTGTCTGCCCCCAGAGCCTGTGTGTGCCCTTTTCTCTCCTCACTCTTGGGAGCCAAGATCAGAGAATGTGGAGGTGGCATCGGCCTCTGCTGGCCAGGCAGGGATAAGAGACTGTAAGAGGAAGCCCACTGATGCTCCTAGCCGTCAGGCCCCTTGTCCCAGCTTGGTACTATTTCAGCACCTTGGAGAGGACCAGAAACCACCTGGCACCAAGCAGGGCAGGAAGGGGGTGGAGAGGAGTGGTGGTGAGGCCTGAGCCCTGACATCAGGCAGGGCTTGAGTTACTAGAAGAGTCTCAGAGAGGCTCCAGCCTCTGCCCAGAGTCCTGCACAGATATGTCCCCAACCAGAGAAGGCAGCAGACAGGCTCTGGGTCCACGTGGCCCTGACAGGCAGAGAAAATTCAGCCCCAGCCCCACGGGCTGAAGGGCTCTGAGCAAGTCACGGAGCCCCACCCAGCTGTCTCCTCTGCAGTTGCCTAGGGCTCCCAGGGGCCACGTTGACCCTTGACCTCTGCTGTGACAAAGCCCCTACTAGGTGACTCTGCAACCAGCAACCACCCTGTGGATGGCTGCAGAGTAAGTCCTTGCCCACGGGCAAGCACTCCATGGAATGAAATGCTTGAGTCTTGGGGCAGCCGATCTTCTCAGCCTCCTCAAGGCCCGGAGGGGCAGAGGAGAACCGATGGCATTGTAATGAATCTCAGGGCGTGCAGACATGGCTCCCGAGAGGACAGAGCAGAACCAGGAGCCCGGAGGCATGAGCCCTGGGCCTGCAGTGCACCTTGTGGTGTTTGAAGAGGCTCATGACCCTGTGGGGAGGGGCGCAGACACCACTGACAGAGTGGGATGAACCCCCACTCTTCTGAGGGTGGTCAGGGAGGGCTTCCTGGACAAGGAAGGCCTGGAGTCTGACACATCAGGGTGAGGACTCAACTGGGGCGTGAGGGGTGAATGGCCTAGGCCAGTGGAGGGGTTGTGTCCAGGTGAGTGGAGGGCGAAGTGGAGGGGTGACTAGAGTGCACCAGGGAGAGGCACACACAGGCAGGAACGGCGCTTGAGGGCATGAGGTGCGATGTCGGAGCTCAGGGACAGGCACCGGAGCACCTCAACGGGATGACTGGAAATGACCAAGCTGAGGGAGGTGATGGGGGGCTCGGAGTTGGAAAGAGGCCACAGGAAGTGGGGGGCAGGGCCTTGGCGCTCCAAGGCTCAGGTTGGAGCTCCCAAGCTGGGCTGTGAGGTGGCTCCTCAGCATGGCGGGGTGCACTGAGATGGTGGTGGGTGCCGTGCTTACAAATAAGTTGTCATTCATTTCAGGCTGGGAGGCCGTGGTGGCAGTCAGAGCAAAGCGCAGAGGCTTCTGGGGCCACCGCCCCTTCCTCTGCCCTAGCCTAGGCACCCAGGGTGCAGATGAAAAGCCCCTGCCTAGCCCTCAGTGAGCAGATAGGGAAACTGAGGCCCAGAGGGTCTCAGGCAGCCCAGCTTGGTGGAGGACAGCACGAGAGGGGTGGCCCGGCCTGTGCCGGTCACTGGAGAGGGAGCCGCTGCCACATCTGCCTGCTGTGGGGACGCACAGTCTCCTTTCAAGAGGATGGGAATGGGGGTAGCGGGGGGAAGAACGAGTGGGAGGGAAACCAAAAGGTGGAAAAGGCAGAGAATAAAGGAGAGAAAGAGGCAGCCCATGCTAGGAGGCTCGGGGAGAGGAGCCACACAGCTCTGTGCACAGCCCGCCCCTGCTCGGGACCTCCATGGCTCCCCAGTGCCACCTGAACAAGAACAATGCTTTGGCTGGCACCTGCCCCTCAGTGTACCTCACGACCAGCCTGAGTGACAACACACTGTCCCCAAACTTGCATGACCCGGCCTCCCTGCCTTCACTCACAGGGCCTTTGCACCTGGATGTTTTCGCCCCACTCCGACTGCCTGACCGAACCCCCAGACCAGCTGAGCTGCTGTCCCCGCCCCAGAGTGAATTTCTTTCCCTTCTGATCTACCATGAAGTGTGCCACACCATGCTGAGGGTCCTGATGACTGTGCCCCTCAGTCAGAGGACAGCTGTCCACGGTGGTGGTGCAGGGACACCGGGGCAAGAGGCAGCACCCAGCTGGGTGCGCTCCTCTCCCAAGCTGAGGGCAGCAGTGTCCTCCTTGGGCTGTTGCGATAGCAGAGGGCTTGAGCTCGAACCCTGACCAGCTGGACAGTACCTCAAGTTCCTGCCTCCTCTTGGGGGAGGGGCATTTCTCCTCCTGCTCATCGGAGTACCTGTGCCTTTAAGAGGAGGAATCAACCCCCCCCCTCTTTCCTCCCTGTTTTTCATGCCAGTCTTTCCCCCTGGATAGGTTCTGACAATTACCACTTCCCCGGCAGCTGGGGTGTTCTGCGTGTGTGTGTGTGTGTGTGTGTGTGTGTGTGTGCGCGTGTGTGCGTGTCTATCTGTGCACATGAGGTGACTGAGCCCATCTCTCCCCCATTGCTGAAATTTACATTGAACCACAAATTAATTTCATAATTTTTTCCTCTCTAATTATGCCAACATCTGCTGCAAAGCCAAGCTGTGCACATGCATTTTAATATTCTCTCCCCCTTCTCTCCTCCTCACAGCATTGCTGTCTGTCTCTGCACTGAACTTTTCAATAATTATCGCCAAGAGAAGATCTTGACTCCCATTTCTCTTGCCTTTTAAGAGGGGGGAGAGAGAAAGGGGGGAGGTGGGGGATGAGTAGGATGGAGAGAAAGAGAGAATGAGGAAAACAGAGAAAGAATGGGTGTGAAAGAAAGGGGAGTGAGGGGGAGAGAAAGAGAAAGATAAAGACTATGGGAGAGAAGAAAAATGAGGAGAGGGAAGGGATGGGAGTGGGGAGAGGGATAAAGGGGAGGGGGAGGGATGAGGAGGGGCGAGGGGGGGAGGGGAGGAAGATTGGCAA